AGTTCTGGATATGGATACAATTTGCTCAGTGGTTACGATATTTTAGGGCTGTATATAAATATAAATATAGTGCATGCTTTTCTAGGAAGAGGTAGTTCCGTCAAGAATGTAAAACACAACATGCTGGCGACTACAATTACTTCATCATCACATCAAAAAATGATTTGTTGCCATTTGTTTGGGACCTAGTTTCCAGGTTACTGAGCTGTCACTCAGCGTCTGCTTTCTTGTCTGGTGGCTTCTGACGGACAGCAGGGGACTGGATGGGTGATTTAGCACAGATTTGCTTTGGAACAGAATGAATATCATGAGCAGATGACGCCTCCTGATGCCCAGCTTGTTGAGCAGTGCCAACTGCCTCGCACATGTGCAGGGGGACCACGGGCTGTGAGAACAGAAGGCCTGGCAGCCCGCATCACAGCCAGCCTCTCTGTCCACTCCCCCCTTCCCATTCAGTCGTCTCAAAGGAGGAGGGAGGCAAAATGAATAATTGTCTCTATTTACAGAGGTCAAGCTAAAGTGCTCCTCTTGAGCCTGAACGCAACACTGTGACAGTGAGATTGTGAAAGCACACACACACACCTGCATTCTGACTTCACTCTGTTTGTTATTTAACACCATTTTATTTCGTACGTCATCAAATTAGATAAGCCTGGACTTGGTCGGACTGGGACCCACAGAGCAGTGTGTCTGTGTGACTCCAGGGAGGAATGAGTGTCTTCAGGCAAACAGATGTGCTCTGCTCACCTGCTCCGATCCACATGTCACCACTCCGGAGGGAGACGGGGGGAAGTGAAGAGGTGTTATTGGATCACATAGGGGACACCGCAGTGTGGGAAAAGGAAGCGGGAAGAGATAAGAAGTCTGAACGGACAAGGAGATGGAGTAAAGAGAGACGAAAGGAGACAGGAAGAGTGAGGTAGGTCCCACCCCTCAGAGTCAGTGTAGCGGTCAACAGCTGGATCCAGCTGCTGAGTCGGAGCTTTGTCACAGCTGCCAGACGCTGACCGTCCCTCTGGAGACTCTCGTTTGTTTTCTTTATCCCTCACTCTCTCTCTATTCCACTTTCACTACACTCACACCCTTTCATAGAAGCTTATAAGCAGTGCTCAGAGGTCTGCCTCACCTGCAGCAGACATTTTGGCTGAGAGACTGTACTAATGAAATGTCTTGTCCCTTGAGAAAGCAATATGAGCACATCGTCCTTCCTTGCCAGATGTGGGCAGGAAACCCCTCCAGCAGACATTGTCTCTCGCAATCTGTGTGGCTATATCACAGCCTTTACCGACCCTTTACTGAAAAAAACAGCTGGCTTTTCAACCTAGCCTCCACATAACATAGAAACCAACATATGATATCACGACAATTTGAAACATGTTTCAAAAGAGAAGGTACAATAATAATATCTTTCTATAACATGGCGTATTTGGATAATATTTCAAGAAAACCCATTACTATTCTGAAGCTGCTATCAGACACACTACTGCTGAAAGAATTCCATTGGCCAGTCTACAGTACAATTTGGAATAAATGATACACTCATTAAGTCATTTATCAAGCATATCCTGTGTGCCAAACATTCTCTGGCCCAGGTTTCTTAAAGGTTATGATGTGCTGCTTTACTCTATTCTGTATCATATCATTTGAAAGGTTTTAGACTGTTGGTTGGACAGCAAAGCAATTTAAGACGCCAATATGGGTTCCAGAAAATTGTGAGGGACATAGAGAATGTAGTTATTTTTTGAACATACAACAAAAAAACTCAAACAAACTTGCACCGTGGTCCTATTCTGTTAAACAGTATTGTTAAAAAAAACACCTACAGCTTTGGTTTTCCACTAATGAACAGTATTTCTGCCCAAATTCTGTTTTTGACGGGATAACATTATAAAAGTTTGACCCCAACTTTCTCCTCCTCTTTTGCTGGCGTAAAGACAGAAGCGGTGGACTTTCTGATGGATGTCACAATAAAATGCGCTCGGCTGTCTCAAGCACAGCAACTTTGACCTGAACACCCACACTCTATCCAGATGTACATCAGTGTTTATGTACGCTTCAGTGCCCCTGCTAGGCCCAGGAGTAAGTGTTCAAGGAAGTATTACATTTGCAAACACATTAAGTAGCACATCCAGTTTCCTGCAATTTTACCATTGCCTGAAAATACTGTTATACCACGGAGCCACAGCGAAGCGTGGTAGTTAGCAGGAGGAAAAAGAAACAGAGGGGACCAAAAGCAGTGTCAGCTCGCCTCAGGCTTAACCAATCTCATGGGCAGAAAGGCCAGTCTGGTATTAAACTGACAAGTGAACATTTCATGCACCACAATAGTCTGACACTTGGCAATTTTACTCATGAACATAGCAACTCAAATTAACTTTAACTTTTCTTGAAAAGTTATCAAAGTTCATTACAAAGAGAAAATATGCTTCAACACTGAGAACTACTAGATGTGGTCGCTGTGTAAGATTTGCAGTTTAAACATTTTAAAAACTGAGCTTTATTTGAATAAACCAAGTACACCATGGGTCAATGTATGAGAATCAGTAACATTAGCACCTGCATGGTGGTCAAAAGAAAGTGGTAATTTTAGTACAAAAAGACTGTGGGAACCAGGGGACTAGTATGAAAGAATACATTCTTTAAATCATTCATATTCTCTCCTCAGGGCAATTATGAGTATTTCCTTCCCCCCAATAGACGGGTTGCTTTTATGTTGGCAGGACCAGAGAAGTGTTTCAGTGTGCCACTTCACTGAGGTATCTCTTTCAACTGGCTGCCTTTAAAGAATTCAGCGAAATAATGAATGTGTTTGAATGGCGCTGTACTGCACACCACTTCCAACTCTGCATGTGTAGTTATCCAAACTCAAATCTAGCAGGTTACGTATTGTAACTCACACAAGTAATCCTAGCCAAAGCATAACAATCCTACACAATATCACCAATGTTTTTTCAAGGGAAGTGATGTGTTTAGTCAGAAAGTTACCAAGACATAACTGAGACAGGAAGCAATTTGGGGCGGTTAAGGAATTGATAGATGCAATGGTTTGTTTTTACAGCTTTAAGCAAGAAAAGTGGCAAAATGTTTGCTCCTTCACTTGCAGCAATCACAGTTCGTCTCATGTTGCCAAGGGGGCTGCAGCCATGACAAGCGACCCATTCTGTCATGAACAAGGGGGAGGCTGGTTTAAAAATTAGGTCTGGCTTATCCTCACAACCAGCTAATGAGAAATGAAGTATGATCAGATAAGAATTTGGAAAGGGACAGACCAACAGACAGACGAGGAAGCCCCCCTGCTCATGTCACCTCCGCCACTCATGCCCACGCTTGTCAGGGCTCATTTCCCCCTCCGCTGCCTAGAGACCCCCTCTCGCCTTTCTAATGGAGCCAGAACTACCCCCCAAAAGAGACAGAGGGACAATTCTTAGCAGAATCAACCATAAACCTCAATTTTATGAGGTGTAAATTATTCCCCAATGCAATATTCTAACACCCAGTGGAAAGTTTGATTATATTGGTTAAAAAATACAACTGTAAAAGAGTGAAAGGCAAATAAAATCTCAAAGATAGCTATACTTTGTTTCACTGAATATAGAGATACAGTCTATTATTTTGAGAATACTTCCCACATTTGAAATAAAGCATCCACTGAAAAAGTACTGTGTACAGTAGCTATTGAGGGAATGCATGCTCATCCACAGTTATATCAAATGATGCAAGAGAATATAATTTGCTATATAAATGGTTCAAATAGATGTATGCAAAAGCATACAATGCTATTTTTGTAGTGTGGTTCCTTTTATGACATCAGATCTGTGTGGTGTTACAGTTATATTTGACTTCTACACAATCCAGAACATTTGGATTTAACACAGTTTGAAAAATAGTAATGGAGATACAATTAGTAATGGTACTTTTAGTAATGAAACATATTCCACAATGCAGCTTATTGTATTTTAAATGCTTAGTTTTTCATTTCGTATTTCATTTTCTCTCTTAAAGTTGACCTATTTTCGTTGCAGTAGATCTTGCATTTTGGATTACAAACTGATTGCTGTTAATAGGCTTAGGTTATTTTGTTACGTTGAACCACACACACACGCACACACTCACCTCATTTTAAAATCATCCATAAACCCAATGATGTATAGCAGAAAGTGACAACATATCACAGGCACAATTCTATGGAGCCAGACTACATTATGATAATCATTAACTGCTGTGCCTGTGACCTGCAGAGGAAAGAAAATTAAGCCACTTCAAACATTTGAAATAATGATCACAATACCCATATTGTAATGTATTTTTGGACAGAGCTGGGTATGGAAACAGAGGACATTGGGAATTTCATCAGCAGACAGAAAAAAGGCAGTCAGATGTCTTGCTGAGTTGTTTGGATGTAAAGTTGGCATCCTGAGTAAGAGCAGTCTGTTCTCACATGGCCCGCCAAACACACTTCTGAAGCATCAAGGCCTGCCCAAATGAGGCCAAAGAGCATTGGCTTTAAAGAACTAGTTCATTCTTGGACTCTCTGAGGGGACAGATCTAACATGTCATACTCCCAGGCATGCGGAACAAAAACTGGTAGTAGTGCTTTTATGAGGCAGTGCACAGGAAAGACAAAAATCTGAAATTCTCTAGCTTGTAGAAGAAAAGAAGGTTATTTTATATATTTTGAGAAAACATGGACTTCAACCCACATTGGAAAGAATGATCTTAGAGCTTTACAGTTCTCCAAAACATACATTTTTTAATTATTCTTTGGTTTGGTTTCCAAATTCCATAATACATTTTAGTATGTTTCCCTTTCTCCTAATCGTTGTGGTCCCTGTGATTCATAATTATGGGACCTCCCACCAGAAGCTCTCGTCGATTCTATGTTTGCATTGCAGCCAGGAACCGCGGTAAGGCCATAGTCTCCCATCACCCCTCCCTCTCCCAAGGCCAAACCCTGGGCCAAGATCCCGTCTGCTAGGCCCTCTGTCTGGACTGCACTCTGTGTCCAACTCCTTGATCCATGCCATACTACTGCAGACACTTGGGAAATCGGATTAGTAGGAAAGTCTATACTTGTAAAAAGAAAAGAAAAAGCTTTCTGACTTGAGGAATCACTTGAATGATTTAAATGACTGATTAGTAATCTTTTTTGCAAGAGCTGTCTTTTTGATACGATAGCCAAAAACAACTTGAAGAAACAATGATTTAATGACAGAGGACTGCCATCACTGGGTGGGCTGTAATTTGTCCTCTATAGCCACTTTTTCTCACGCTCAACTAGCCTAATTAAGGTGCCTTTTCAGAGTGAAGTGACTTCTATTTCTTTGGATAAAGCCCTGAATTTGTCTCTGTCTGTGAATATGTGAAAACCCCTTTGTGCCCATGCTGACAGAGGACTTTACACTGCCTCTGTTACCCTGGAAACCTTTTGAGAGGTGAAGGGGAGGACAGCCAAAGAGGAGATCATCTTGGCCTAAAACCGCAGGTAAATTCTCACTAAGGCAGTCCAATTTAAACAGCTTTACTATGAAGAAATAACTATTCATAGAGGAATGAAAGGAATCAGCAAAGGATGACACATTTCTCCTCTATTTACCTTATAAAATTCCCATTTCTTATGCTTTTCACAACTGCCCTCAAGTTGAGATCAGACTTATGCATGATCTCAGTGCAGAAGTGTGGGAGTGCGTAGTACAAATCCAGAAACTTTTAATGAAATAAATCTGTAAATGTCCTACCTCAAGAATGCAGGTCCCTGGAGATGTGTTCTCTTTGATGGACACATTGTAGAAATTCTTCTCGAAAACTGGCTCATTGTCATTTATATCCTGAAGTACAATGTTTACCACAGCAGAAGAGGATAGAGGTGGTTTTCCTCCATCTGAAGCCAATACAGTTATACTGGGATTGGGGTTCTTTTCATAATCCAGCTGGGAGAGAGTAGTGATAATCCCTGTAACAGAGTCTATACTGAACCAGTTGGAGTAAGCACCTTGGTCTCGCAGGATGCTATAGTTAATGTCCCCATTGGGCCCCTGGTCTTTGTCTCTAGCCGTCACCTGTAGCACAAAGCTCCCTGGAAACACCAATTCAGGGATCACCTGCCTGTACACTGGCTGGTCAAACAGAGGAGGATTGTCATTGACGTCAATCACCTGGATGATGAAGGAGGACTCGGCCCTGAGAGGAGGAGTGCCCGAGTCTGTTGCCATCACCCTCAGCTCGTAGGTGTCCCTCTCCTCTCTGTCCAGAATCTGGTCCACACAGATCAGATAGATGATGCTATCCTTAGTGGTCAGGGCAAACTTTCCATCTCCTCCCTCTAGTGACACGTTGACGTTGGCATACTCTCCGTAGTCTGGGTCAGTGACTGAGATCCTGGCTACAAACTGGCCTGGCTGTGCACCCTCTGAGATTCTGGGAGATCCATCCTCACTGAGAAAGATGATGGTCATGGTGGGTTGGTTATCGTTGTAGTCTCTGACGTGGATGGTGACGAAGGCATTGGTTACCTCCGGTTGGGTTGCATTGTCTTGCGCCTGGACTACCAGCTCGTGGACTCTCCTCATCTCAAAGTCGAGCGGCTTGTTGAGTGTGATGACGCCGGTGCGAGAGTCAATGACAAAGTAGCGGTCCGGGTCGCTTTGTCTCCTGTTGATTTCATACAGCACTATTCCGTTGTCTCCTTCATCAGCATCTGTGGCAAACACCTGCAGGATGTTGCTTCCTGGCTGAAGGTTCTCTGATATTATGGCATGGTAGCGGCTCTGGTTGAAAATGGGAGCGTTGTCATTTATGTCTTGGACAGTAATATCTAATGTCATCTGATCACTCCTTTTGGGGGAACCACCGTCAAAAGCCTCTAGAGATAAAGTAAAGGTGGACCTTTTCTCTCTGTCAAGAATGGCATTGACCACCAAGTCAAGATAGAGAACCTCATTGCTTCCCCTCCTGGTCTCCAAAGTGAATGCCTGGCCAACATTTCCATCTTTAATTAGGTAACCCTGTGTTGTAAGCTGGCCTTTATCAGCATCCATAGCTGGCTCAAGAGGAAACCTGGTGCCGATGGCTGTTTGCTCAGGGATTTTAAAGGTGGCCTGTTTCCTGGGGAACGTTGGAGCATGGTCATTTATGTCATTCACGTTGATGGTCACCTCCACAGTCACACCTGTCATAGTGACTGCAATGAAGTTGTATCTATCCCTCAGTTCCCTGTCCAGAACTTTTGCGGTTTTAATAATGCCTGTGCTCTCATCTATGTCCAAATCACTACCCACTCCAGTGCCTTCATGGTCTGAGATAAAGTACAGGGATGCTGTGATGCCAGGTGGAAGTCCAGCACTGATGTCCCCTACAATTGTGCCTGCTGGCTGTTCTTCGTCGAGCTGTAGCTCAAGGGTCCCCGTGACCCCAGGGGAATGGACTGTAATGAGCTGTAAGACCATATACACCATTATCACTATCCTCCTGTTCCACCAACCCTCATTGTGTGAGTGGTCCATTACAGACTTCCCAAGACCCTTGGCAGCCGTCTTCATTTTGGTTCCTTCTTTTTAAACCTGGAGACACAAAAAAAAGGAAAAGCTGAGCAATATCAAAACCTAATAACAGCAAAAAGGAAGAAAAGGTGTATTATTTCTGTGTAAAAATACAGAGTACTTTGGTTTAAAAAAAACAAGTATGTGCGTTATACACTTTCCCATATGTTTTATGGGCTCTTTTCCAAACCACAGGACATGCAGTACAATATACACTACACATAACATTTTCCTACACTTCTTCAATCACCTAATAAGTCAACACCTTGTTCCTCCTACATACCAGAAAGCTCTCCTTTGCTAGAGAAACATCAAAGCCACAGACCACTACATCAGATGGGGAATCTTGGCTGTGGCTATTCAACTCTAATTAAAATGATGCAGGAATCGTTATGCAGTGGGTTCACCATAGCAGTACCCTCTCGTGTAGGTCCTGCATTTAATATTCATGTGTGCTACCACATTTGGCTCTCAGAGTGAGCCGTTCTGAAACACTCATATAAGAACCATTTCAAATGTATAACTCTTCCTAAGTAAACATATCTGTCTTTCAATACATCTGAGCGTCAAATTCATGAATCGTGTGTTAAATCAACTGGTGAAAAAGTTAATATTTAAAAAGGTAGCAAAGGTGTTAGAAGCCTTGCATAAACAATAGACGCTGCATTTGTAATTGAGACAGAGAGACACTTTGGATCAATGTAGAAATTATGCAACGAGGTTGGGACCATCTGGAGAATAATCCAAAACCACCAAGAGTCTGGCAATTGTGTCTTTTTCATTAAATAAAGAGAGCTGCTTCCAATTGTCTGTGGTTCTGTCTTACTGTAAGTTGTGATATCCATAACTACTTTGACTTGTTTGAAAAGTAAGGTTAGCTTTGATATTGTTGAAATATATACAGAAGCACATTTTACTGTATTACATTACTTGGAATTATGTGTCTGGTGAAAGCTCTTCAAGGCTCCCCCCAGTGGTTCAACTGTTACCTGCAAGGAAACGTGTGTGGGTTCACTGAATGCCTCCCATTTGTCCCTGAATGCAGTATTGCAATCTGTCTCAGCCACGGTGGTGACAGTGTGTTTGAGTGACAGAGCAGAGTTGAAAGGCTCCATGCAGTCTACCTCTCTCCCTTTTTCTGGCTCTGCAGCATTGTAATTGAGGGCTGCTGGAAGTTGGCCATAAGCACACAAGATCCTGGAGCTAATTTCAGTCTGCCGGGCGTGCACACAATGCTAACTTAAACATATCGATTGGTTTGAATTCAACTAAGTGAGAGAAACCTTTGGGCATTTGGATGTAGTACACGAAAATGTGTGCTGTGAACAATTTTATGTTTTACTAGTTTAATATTACTTAACAGTTAGGGAATACGAATAATCTCAGTATCAATTTGCTGCAGTAGTTACCTAATCCATATTCAAATTCATACATTTACAGGACCTCAGAGGCAAGCTCTACACTCAATTGTATACCTTACTTTGGTTTACTCTGTAAGTGCTGTTCTCAGCCAGAAAATAAGCACATCCATGACAGCCTGAAAATCTTGACAGCACTTGAACTTTAAAGTCTCAGTATTGATTTACTTTACTTCAACACTGGGGATGCACGTTTACAACGCTTTCTCCAAAGCACAAAGGATAGCTTTTCAAGGCCAGAATTTTTGTCCAAATGCCACAACTGAAATAATGCACTCTCTGGTTGAGCTACAGTGGAGGACCTCTGCAGAGCGGAGCAGCCTAATGGATGTAGCAGATGCAGTTGGGTAGGCTAATTGCACAATACCAGGCGAAGAAGGACATATGGTTTTAAAAGACTGAGTTTAAAGCTTAAGAGAAAGGTCTGTACTTTAAAGCTAAGAAATTCACCAAATACATAACAAATACTGCCCATATGCCTCCATGACTGAGAGTTTCAGTCTGAATGTTTGTGGCCACTGTTAGCAGTCAGGATATAAGAAGGTTAACAACTCATTCGTGCGTTAAGCTTCAGGGAAAGCAATCTGGAAAAAAACTAGTTAAAATAGCTGCTGATGGTTGAAAGCTGTCTCATTTAGTAAGCCAATCCCATTGTGGCTTGGATTCAGATGTTTTCCTTGCATCATTGTCCAAGACCACGGTGGGTCCCTCATGCTGTTAGTCAAACCTCAGCAAAGAGTTTTGTAAAGTTGACGCTGTTGAACCATTAAATAAAATGTACCTGCAGTCAAGTCTCTGGAATATTTTATTTGCACACTTTTGAAAAAGTTTCACTGAGGTAATTATTTTCTAAAACCAGCACGTGTTACATGGCATGTATACCTCATTGTTAGCAGTAACTATAGCATTGACCCACTTTCTTTGAATCCTCTAAACCAAGTCAAGCAACCAAATCCAAGGTTTCTAGGATTTACATACACAATGAAACCTCTGTTTAGAATACACAAGATATCATTCTGGGCACTTTAGTAGCATGACTGGAATCAGCATCGAAATCCCTGGCAGCAGCAAATGTTTGGCACATCATGGCTGAATTTGTATTTCTCCACTGTGGGCTCCATCATGTTTGGCAAAATGTGTGAGGCATTTATTTTGTATTCGCCGAAATGAATTTGCTGGTTTATTTTACACTATTCTAAAAAGGAGTAATATTTCTCTTTTTTCCCTACAAGACCAAGAAAAGCATACCTTTGGTTTGGCAAAACAGACAATAGACGATACATCTGAATAAACAGTGGCTTACCCTTCATTAGCCAAGACCTACATTATATAAAAGAATGCCAAACCTCTCATAAAAAACAAATATGCTATTTCCCCATGAAGAGTTGAAGAGCTGTTTATCATCATAATGAAATATCAGTGAAATTGCCTCAGATCACAGAACTAGCCAACTGATATAATTTCATCTTAAATACCACGGAGATATTCAATAATCGTGAAATATTTTTCTTCGGTTAACATCTTCTCCCTACAAATAGCAGCGACCCTTTTAGATTTTTGATTGTTTCTTATGTGGATTTGTAGTATTTGTGTTACTGTCTGTTCAATAAAGGTGTATTTTGCTAAATCTTGAGACATTGCCACTGTATATACTAGGCCTCAAGAGCCTTTCTTGTGCTGGCAGACACATAGAACCATATTGGCGGAAAGCACTTTGCACGTACAAAATAATTCCACGCGTTCCGCGCTCACATTTAGCTGCCTTAGCACCGCTTTACCGCCTTAGCACCGCTGCTATGACTCCATCCTAGGGGAAACACTGATCTTATTACAATCATCCACAATATTGAGATATATTCTCTTCTGTGTTCGATCGGGTGCTTTACTGATCCAACATACCTGATCCAAAAGGGATAACACCAAATACTGGTATCTCATTTTCTTCAAGTTTTAGAGTACTTCAGCTGCACCACTATAATAAACACAATCAAAACATTTTCAACACTAACAGGACAAGAGGGACGACTATTGTGAAGGACTATGTAAAATGAGATTCTAATTCCATGTCACGATTCCAGTTAACTCAAACAAAACTTCTGAGGGTTCGAGAACATGCCAGGCTGCCTGAGGCTAAATGGAGCCATAATGGAAACCACAGACAGAACTGCAGATTGACTGGACATGAGGATGACAGGCTTAGCACAAAGCAAACTCAAAAAGGCCTGGAAGTTTGCCACACTATTTCTCACAAGTGCCGCATTTCTGTGCCCTGCATTACTCTTTGAAACGTCCGTCCCTCGGCATGTAAAAAAAAAAGGCCAGGAAAAGCCATCACAGGCTTCAGATACACATGCACTTCCTGACCATAACAAACGCGCTATTGGGAAAAAACACACAGGCTCCTTTTTCACGACAAGATGAAGGTTTCCAGGGGTTTTGAGGTTCCCAAGTGTCTGTGACAAGGAGGAACATCTCTTTCCCACAGCAAGAGCAGCATGGGTTAGTTCAGCTGTTTGTATAAGATGTTCCAGATAAACAAAAAACACACACCTTATGTCTTTGAAGATGACACCATCTGATATTGCGATGGGGGTACCAGTAGTTGCATCATTAAAAACACATGTGCATGGAGTTACAGTAGCAGGGTGCAAGGAGAGCTTAGACAACATTACTAAGGTTGAAGTTCACCTTATATGTTGACAGTCTCATACATCTCAGGGAAGACATGAGTGATTTCATTTTCTTTTTTAATTTTAGAGGATTCGGAAAAGTTTCCTGTTCAGCAGAGGCAACGTGGCATCTGGTAACATTTAAAAACAAACATGGAGAGGATAGCCTTCTGGAACAACACACTCAAACACCATGGTTGACGCACACATGACTTGTTTTACTCATGACGACACTGCAAGGAGATGAGTCAAACCACAGTGACTGCATCCAGGCAATTTTTCAGAAATGTAAGGCAGTAAGAAACTCTCTGGGTGGTGTTGGTGTGGTCGTCCTGTGAGAAACATTCATTGTGTTTTTTATTTCTTTTTAGGAGTCTGGAACAATAGCTTCATCAACAGCATATGCACGCTACAAAGAAGAGACTGGTGAAATGATTACTTCATGCACTTCACCAAGGTTTTATGACATAATCCTTGATTTGTTATAAAAGCTGTGGAGGTCCTCATTTTTGTGGTTTTATCCCTCTGCAATTTTTTTTTATAATTAAATACTCAACAGTCCTAACACATTAGAATAATGTTCCATTAAGGAAATACCTTGTTGATGGCAAACTGACTAAAAACTAAGCATATGGATGGATGATTGGACCGATGTTTGTATGGGAAAAACTGACAATCACTGCAATCCACTGCCTGACAATATAATTGAATAATTGTAGAGGTGACACTCAAATTAAAGTTAAAGCAGGAGTCTGCCATCCTCCTTAAACTGATGACTGGTGGGGAGTCAAATGGAGAGGAGGAGCCTGCACTCTGTGTCTGAAGTAAAAAAAAAAAAAAGGCTGCATAATTACGTTGCAGCACCATGGCAACCACCACACTCACAACTAAAGTGCGCGGTGATGGAACCCAGTGGAGACTTAATTAAGGTATTAATTGAGGGAAAGGAACACCTATTCACGGTCAATGAACACAAGTATGCTAACACAATCACTGTGCAGACATCGGGGGGATCATTTGGTATGTGTTCCACTGGAGGAAGAGGGGGGGGGGCACGAAGTCTCAGCGGCGACAGCAGCAGCACTTGGAGGACAATGAAATAACTCCATAGGTTGACCAATTTGAGAGGAATGTCTCAGAGGAGTTTTTTTTAACTGCAATGACTGATATATAGTTTAATGTTTGGCTGCTCTCTAAAGTAGGCGCATAAGCTGAGCTTGTTCTGGGCAGTTACACAGATCACAGAAGTCATAATTAATACACAAGTCGAAGTACAATTATTCTCAAACTTAAATAATGTCCTTTTTGAGCAGTTTGCATGTAGAGGTGAAGATGAAAGCTTGCCACCAGCACTTCAATGACATGTATAGTGTGCTACATTGACACCGTTTCTTTAAATCAACTTTGTTTAACGAGTTTATTCAAAAATAAATAAAGGTAAATGGGCGAGGTTGCAACACCGAATACAATAACTATGCCCAACTGCTAGAAGGCTGAGCATGAATCACCTGAAAAACTGTCTGCAAAAAAGTAGACGTCGTATGAGTTTTACATATCTTTCCACCAGTCAGGCAGGGATCAGCCAGTGAGTTGTACATGTTTTAAACATTAAACAAATGCAAATAAAAGGTCTTGTTATCAATGAGCTGTGCTGATGGATAACTTGAACGCATTACGTTACTTTTGGAGTGAGCAGATCTGTGACATGCCGTGGTGGATACTCACACTCATCTGTTGCTCTGCTTTATTCAATATGTTTTTAAGCCGAGTTCCGAGGCAGATCCAGAGACTTCTCAGTAGTCCCTTTTGAAGTCCAAAGTGAAACATACATCCATTTCAAAACTTGTATCCTTTGCCAGTGGCTGTTGAGATCCCCCCTCGTTGTGCCCAATTCGTTTGGACCTTGCGAAATTCCGAGTTCTACCCAGACGAAAAGATTACAAGTCAAACTTTAACGGTGTAAAACTTTCCCAGCGTCCTCTTCTGGTAGTAGAGGTTATCAACTTATCCGCATCAACTGTGTTTTGAACTGTGCTGTCTGTGAGTGTGGGGGCACACACACTGCTGCAGCACGCTGACTGAACCAAACAGTGAGGGGCAGCTCGGCGGAACGTCCCTCCACAAATCTCATTTATTGAGCACGTGACGGAGCAGCCTCCTGCTCCTCTCTCCCTGAGAGCTGCTGTGCTGTGGCGGCTAAAAGGAGACTCTCCGACTGCAGAGAGGCAGCCAGGTTATTGCTGAACTTTGGTGCCACCATCCTATGCAACAGGGAAGTGTTCTTGGGTGGTTTCACAGAGCTGATGCACAGCACTGACTAATATGGAATAAAGTTTGACGTTTCTAAACTTGATCTGTGAAATGTTAACCAGGTTATATCTGGGAAAACAGTATGTTATTCAAATTAAAATGCAAAGGCTTTATTGTGCACAAAGCTACAGTGAAATGGCAATGAAATTCTTCTGACCTGAGCTCCTCCAACAATGCAACATATAATAAAATACAAAAATACAAAATAAATGTAATAGACAATCATCCACATTATATTATTTTAATTAAAACGGTAATGTACTGTTAAGGATTTTAAAACTTGATTAAAATATTGTATAATTATGCTGGGACTGTGAAAAACTGAATTTCAATCAAGTATGTTCAAGTTAATAGACAATCCTCCACATTTGATCATTTTGTATCAATTGTAGGCTACTGTACTATTAAGGATAAAACTTGATTAAAATATTGTATAATTATCCTGGGACTGTATAGAGGAATTGCCAATCATCATATTCAATTGATTCTACTTTCAGTGTCTTGGGTACTGTTCTGCGGCTCACCTTGTTTCCACATACAGTACATGCAATACCTAGACCAAACAACCTCACCAAAAGCCCAGCATCATAGGAAGCCTAGATATCACTGTGTATTTCCTTCAGTTGATGGAAGAAAAAGAAACTTCCTGAGGGTATTTTTCATCTAGAGAAAGACAATGCCCCTCACATTTTTCTCCTCTTGTGACTCTTTAAAGAAGCATAGCATACATCTTCAGTCAAGTCCCACGAGGAGCTCAGCTCTAATAATGCTGGAGCCATAACCCTGCATTGCTTTTGTGTCGATCACTGAAAGCTCTGAAACTTATTAAAGCCTTGTCACTTTGCATTTGGAACTCCCGAACAAGAGAAGAAAAGAGGGTCCCTGTTTTGTCAACTATCATATTTATTGTGAAGAAACATTTGACATAAGTGGGGTGAATGCATGGAACTCATTATCTGGCTTTTATTAGCTTTATTTTTTGCAGGTTGCTTGATCTTTAGTGTTATCATCATGAAAGGAATATAAAAACTGACGCCACTCTTGGCCAAACAAAATAACGGCAAATTATTTCTTCTAAAATCACATTAGCCAAAAACATGTTATAGTAGTCAGTATGAATATACTGTTTGTGCTGATGTAGAAACAGAAAACCTTTGAAAAAGAAAAGTTTGGTCAGTGTCAACTCTCCCACAGTTCAACATTTTTGCTGGCTAAACCTTTTTTCCTCCAAGCAACCTAGTTATGTCTCCCCACTCTCACACTGTGAACTGCATGCTATATCACCAAGTGGAATGAGTTCCTGTGCTGGCAGCTTCTCATTACTACTTTGACAGCAGAGCAAGCCATCGCACACAGACATCCACATATAGACTCGTACATTCACTTCACACAAAGTCAGATGACATTCTTTTTTTTGCTAAGTCAGAACAGCCTAGAGCTTTACTTCTTAAGGGACAACCATGCACATCATCAGCATTATCTTCCCCAATTTCATTGAAGGTCCCCTATAATACTGTTTTTCATCAAAATATAGGTCTCAGATATATACAAAACATGTCTCTGAAGTATTTGGCTGAAATACCAAACAGATCGTGCATTGCAGCATCCCATAATCCCCTCTGTTTCAGCCCTGTTTCAAAAGTGCTGATTCTCTGTCTGTTACTTTAAATGAAAATAAGGAGCCACTCCCAACGCCCCTCTGAGAGATATTTGGTTAAAAAGAACACAATGTAGGAGATTCAGGTGATAAGGTGGGCGGGTGTTACCTTGGTTGGTTATTGGCTAATGGTTACACAACCCCAAAAAACACAATGACATCATAAAGTCGCAAGATCTGATCAGCTCATTTTCAGACAGGTTTTTATATAAATGGATCAGGACAAAAAGTGAGTGAATCTCTTTACACAGAGGGGACACATGTTTATGTATAAAAGACATGAAAAAAAGTGGATTTTGCATAATAGGTGACTTTTAAATTAAAAAAGAAGTTAAGGTGCAGAGTGAGAAAAGTTGTTCAATAAATGCTAAGCATATATTGAAGTTATACAGAAAACAAAATACATTGTTTTGGTTTTTCTTCTTAGATAACATGTAGTGCTGTTTCAGATTATTAACTCAAGTCATAACTTAGACTCACTATCCGTGTACTCTGTTACTGGCTGATAAGTTAGGCAAAGAAATATAGATATTCCTTGTCTTATCATGATGCATTTTTATTTCAAATATCCTTTGTTTGCAATATATAATATTCCTTTCTGTGCAATTTGTGAAAGACAGAGATGCCGTAAACATTGCCTCTTGACAGAACAATACATTGTCAAATATCCTGTTGACAGCATACCGGTAAGACAAAATGGCACAAGACGTGATGGCCTTTTCTGACTTTGACAAATGATGAGAGATGGAAAGATGGACTAAAACTTGATGAAAAAAATGCCAACCTGATGCATTTTTTTATGTTTAAAAACAACATATTCAGTTTTGTACTGAGGATAAATTACTTGAAAACTTTAGAGGAGCATCTGTTGCTCATTTGGCAGTATAACCTTCAGAATTAGCTTTCCCTATGTTAAGCCTTATCTACACTGAACAAAAATATAAATGCAACACTTTTGTTTTTGCTCCTATTTTTCATGAGATGAACTCAAAGATCTAAAACATTTTCTATATACACAAAATAACCATTTCTCTCAAATATTGTTCACAAATTAGAAAAAATCTGTGATAGTGAGCACTTCTCCTTTAGCCGAGATAATCCATCCCACCTCACAGGTGTGGCATATCAAGATGCTGATTAGACAGCATGATTATTACACAGGTGTGCCTTAGGCTGGCCACAATAAAAGGCCACTCTGAAACGTGCATTTTTGCTTTATTGGGGGGGTCTGGGGGGGTCCGAAAACCATAGGGTTAAACCCTAACCCTAACATGTCACCCATTGAGCATGTTTGGGATGATCTGGGTCGGCGTATACGACAGCGTGTTCCAGTTCCTGCCAATATCCAGCAACTTCGCACAGCCATTGAAGAGGAGTGGACC